TGACCAAGTTGTTTCTAAAGGCTTTGTCTCCACTTCCCCTATAGGGACTTCCTTCTGAACATCTTCCATCCAAAGACCCCTGAAATCATGCCGATTGCTTAATGCTCCACCCTGATCGGCTTTCCCTATATAAGGAGCTCTAGAAATTTCCTAATTCCCCACTCTGGTCAGAAGACTGTCCAGAGCCCTCCTCAGGCTCACACTTTGGGGCAGGGAGCCTATAAGTCGGTTGTGGCAAAAGCTGTTGACGTATGTGTCATATCCAGGAAACATGTTCTGAACAAGGGGCATCTGGAAAACGTGTTTTTACCTAAATGTAAATCATCTCAGCAGCTTTCATTGGATAGTTATCTCTTGGGTTTCCATGTAGAACTGGACATCACTGTGATCACTAAGTCCAGTCATCCGCTGGGGGGCTCTTTTACCACTTATCTGCAAAAGTAACATTTTTGCTGCACGAGGGCCATTTGTCAGAGGCAACACAGGATGTTCCTCAGATGGCATTTATGCCCATGGGGAGAGAGAAGAGTTACGGTTACCTCTGCTGCTTGCAATCTCACATGCTCTTGATTGTGCTTTTCCTCAGAGCGTAATTCTACAAGTTATGGACAACCGCAACAAATGGACAGCCAGAGGCAGTGCAAGGAGCATAACTCTGCAGTCCAGACAGTCCACCTGCCAGACCTGAGTTCCAACTCGACTTGTGCCACTCACAAGTCATATGACCCTGGGAGGTCCCTTAAACTGCACAATAAGACTAACAATACCAACTCTCAGGGAGGTGATAATTCAATGAGGTAACATATGGTACGCTCCCGGCTCGTTCTAAGTTTCTTCAATGTTAGTTTGCTTCCTCTTCCTCCTCCTGGCATGCTCACGTTAGAGCCGACTCCAAAGCTCCTGATGAACTCAAAGCCTGACCACCGCCTACATGTTCCCATTCCTCACCTGGCTTCAGTGGTCCCAGCCGTCTCCACCCAGCAGACACTGCTGAGGTTGGATGTGTCAAATGACAACCACAAACGCTTCACGGAGTCAGAAGGAGGGGCATGAATGGGTACCCCTGCTCTGCAGAGACGGAAGAAATGTTCCTTTTCTCTTAAAAACCAATTCTTTTTTTTTTTTTTTTTTGTGAGGAAGATCAGCCCTGAGCTAACATTTGCCAACCCTCCTCTTTTTGCTGAGGAAGACTGGCCCTGGGCTAACATCCGTGCCCATCTTCCCTCACTTTATATGGGACGCTGCCACCGCATGGCTTGCCAAGCTGTGCGCCGGTGCGTGCCTGGGATCCAAACTGGCAAACCCCGGGCCGCCGCAGCGGAGCGCGTGCACTTAACCTCTTGCGCCACCGGGCAGGCCCCTTAAAAACCAATTCTCGAACCAAGCATGGTAACAACATATATTGCCAAACGTGGTAATACTATGTGGTAGTAGATTTGATTTAGGAAAGCAGTGGGTCCTCAAAATTTGGAAAATGCACTTTTCATTTGTAAAACTCTTAAATGCAAGTTTAAAAAATGATGTGTTATACCACTTTTTTTCCAGAGCCCTCTCTAGTGTCTCCCCCTCTCCAACCCCTGCTGTTCCCATAACTGATGTAGAAGTAATTTCATGAGCCAAATAGGATAGGTTTACAGGTGTGCGTTTGGCATTAATTTTAATTTCTATTCACATACATATTATTATTACCCCCTACTCTCATGAAATAGTTTATTCCACCATAACATATATTTTAATGAAAGCCATATTTTTGGGGAATACATTAATCTGTCTAAGAATAAGTGATTAAATCATCTGTCATTCTGTTGTAGGGCTCCTTCTCTAATAGGTTTTCTTTGTTTGGCAAATAAATTAGAAATGTCATGTTTGTTTCCAAGCAGACATAAGCTGGCGATGACTTGTACCAAAGTCATGGACAAAAAGTTCATAGAGGCATTTGAATTTCTTCAGGGTTGAAAATCCAGATATATTATTACTTTATCTTTACTGGAAATTGGGGTAAGGCAGGAGATGGGGAAGCAGAATGTTAAATCAGCTGGTAACCCTAAATAATCTTCCACGGTGTACGTTGTACATACACATTCTCCATTACTGCCGTCATTCCTGGCTTTCACTCACGCTGTCTCAAGGTTGCACGAATGGTAAATGCTTCTTAAATGTCTAATTGATATGGTCTGATGAAATGATTAAGGATTTTATTGACTACTTTCAGAGTAATTCAGTTATGATGTGGCAAGGTGTTTAACAAACATCCAGGAAGTCTCTGCAAATTCCAACTGGACAACTCTACTCTGAGGTCCAGCACCACCTCCAAATGAACACTTTCACACGCTGGACTCAATATCTTCCTCCATAACAAGCTCCATCAACAACAATAAAAACAGCAACCAGAATCTTTTTTCCTTCTTTTGTGTTTCTCATCTTTGTGAACTGCACTGCATCCACCAAATTTCCCAACCCAGAAACCTAGAGGTCAGGCTGGATTGGCCTGAGGGCATGAGGAGAAGCAGCAAGAACTGCTGAATCTAATTATTCTTAGCACCTTAATCTCTTTGAATCTGTATACTTCTCTCCATATTCATGGCCATCAGCTAATCCAGGAATCTATCAATAATTCTCTGGGATCCTGTGCCAGCCTCTTAGATCCCTCACTCTCCACTGTGTGGCCAGAGTAACTGTTATCTAGTGCAAATCCGGACACATACATTCTCTGTTTACAAACCTTCACTTGATACCTACTCATCCCAGCATAAATTGAAACTCACTACCGGTGGATTGAAATCCTCACAATCTGGCCCTTGTTTATTTTCCAGGCTCATTTCTTATTATTCTCCACAAACAAGGATTATTTGCAGTTCCCTGACCAAATCATTCTACTTCTTCTCTCTTATCTACACTCTCTTTTATATATTTTCCACTTTGTCTGGATGCTTCCAATCCACCTTTCCCTAGGCTTCTCCATTTTGTTGGAGTTCCAGCGTGGGAATCTTTTCCTCCAGGATCTTCCCTTCGTGGGCAGGTTAGGTGCCTCTCTTCGCCATCTCCCACGCGCTTACCCATTGTAGCGCCCTTTCCACGCTGTCTTCACAGTCACGCCCACCCACCCGCATGAGAGCCTGAGGCTCAGGAGCGTGACGAGTTGAGGGTCAGCTCGACCTGCTGCGGTTCTGGGAAGACTGACCTACTTGGTGGCTCCTCCAGCTCCTCCGACACACACGCTCATTCAACTCCCCGTATTTTCACTGAAGGCTCCCCAGAGAAACAGACTGACAACATCATCGCAGCCACTGGGCACAAAAATCTAAGATCTCATGACTACAAAGTACGATACAATGCCCTTTAGCCACAGAGACAGTGTCCCCACAAGCCTCAATCAAAAAGTATTTCATGGGGAGGGAAAATCATCTTCTGGCTTGAATAGAGATATCTGCTTTGTCAGAGATTCCTTAGCATATTATGTTTGGACATTTTTCAAATGGTGTGCTAACACATCCTGGAAGTTTCTCTGGATGCAAGACAGGCATTTATAGTCAGATCTTGGAACAGCTCTCCCCTCGATGCTCTGAGGAAGCATCTTTGTTGACCACAGCACATCCCCAGAGCTGACTTGGGCCTGGTCACATTTGAGGGGGCTTTGAGTAGCGACCTGTGAATGACATTATGTGTGCTTTTATACCACTACATCCAATAACTGACTTTTAAAAAAAAATACAAACCATGCACAGATGTTAAATAATGGTTATCTTTTGCTAGCTAAGGGAAATCATATACTTCTCTTTGTTTTTTTGTTTCTGGGACTCAGAATCATGAACCACAGAGTTGCAAACAGATCTGATTTTTATGTGATATTCTGTGGCTTTAAGTAACTTAAATCAACTAACCTACTGATATTGTGTACTACTTTTTTTTAAATAAAAGAGTAAAACGGGGACAGAGGAAGCAATCATTGATTCATTGTAAACATTTCTTTTTCCCAGATCATCTTCAGCTCACATATAACTTTTTCCCAAATACATCTTTCCTTATGGCCATCCTTGTTCTTTATTTTCATGAATCATTAGGCCAGCAAACATTCCAGCTAAGTTGTAAAAATGGCGCATTCGTTCCATCCAAACTTACCTGTTCGTTTCTTGCATTTTTTTTTTTAACTTAACTCTACCATTTTAAATCTCTTTAATTCCAGACCATGATCATACAAATTTTTCCTATGGTTTATGCATTCATGCAATGAATAGTTTTTGAGTGCCTACTATATGCGAGACTCTTTCCTGGATACTGGTTATACAGAAGTGAATAAAACAAAACAAAAGAAAAATCTCTGCCCTCAAAGAGCATGTGTTACAGTGGGTGAGTCATCCAACACGAAAGATAAATAAAATATGTGCCATGTTGGATATGATAAGTCTAAGGATTGAGTATTATTTCATAAAGCAGGGAAATGATAGAAGTGTTGGGGAAGCAGGTGCAATTTTAGAAAGAGGAACCTGCTCATTAATTTGGAGGCTAATGTTGTAAAAGTTGAGAATGAAGTTGGTCTGAAATGTCTCTTTGGTTTGCATTTGAACAGCAGATTTGCAAATAAATCAATACTACATATAAGACAATAAAGGAGCTATTAAAGCTATTTCAGAAAAACACTCCTTTATCATTCTTGGAAGCTGCTTATAACCATGTCCTATATTCATGTAAAGGGAACTTGCTTTAACTATTGTAAAAGGCATGACTTTATCATTAATGAACTGGGACTACATTATGCATTATACTTGAATGTAACCACCTATATGTGAAAAACTATGCAACTCACATCTTTTCACTACTGCAGCCCACTTTTAGTCTTAATTAGTGACATTTTACTGTGTCACATCTCAGCTTGCTTTAACTGCTAATTATGCAACTTAGGCACAAATAAGGTAAGAATACATCAAGAAACCTAAATACAAATTTCACTGATTTGGAATCAAATTAAACACACACAACAAAAACTCCACAACATGGAAGGGTGAAGAAAATGAAAACATTTCCAAAGGTATTTATTGAGAAATAGTAAAGATGTACATATTTTTACAAGCTTTTAATATTAATTTACATTTCTTTAAATTATGTAGGCCCCGATAATCTATACTTGACTAATACATAACAGAAACCCTTGACTTTGTGAGATTTCCACAATGCTACCATAGCTGGGAGTCAAAATGCAACTTTGGCTCACGATGCTTAAGTTTGTTTTCAAAAGAAATACTAAATGCCATATTCACTGAGAATTAGGCTTATCATAAACAAATGTGCTCTTAAAAAACAACCACCTCATACTGAAGCATGCTGTTGACACTACTTTGAACCTTACCTCACCAGAGACTACGGAGAAAACATTTTTAGAGAGTTATTACCTAGTTTTTGTGCGCAAACTGCATGATTCTAAAATACTTTTTTGCCCCTGAATTTTATTTACAAATTTTTGTAAGGGTATAGTGACTTACTCTTGAATGCTATAATAGTGGAGCCAGGCCACCTGTTTTGATATTTTTTAGATGCAACACCGGGTGGGTGCCCTTCCTAGCGATACACCAAGTTTGCACATACAGTAGCTGAAAATCCATTTTAGTTACAGAACATTTTTCAAACTGTTTTACAATAAGGCACAATATTCTGTATGTCAATAGAATGTGGGAATTGCCAAAGGGGCTGGGTTTTTGTCGGTTGGTTGATTTTTCGTTTCTGAGATCAGCAAGGAAGAGGATCTTCTTTTCCTAAGGTGGGAAGGGAAGATTTCTAATTCAGCATGCTCAAAGGGGCATGACAAGCTGGGGCGTCGGCTCACTGGCCTGCACCATGGTTGTGCCAGACAAGCTGTTCTCCGCCAACCCAGCCTTTAGGTGTTATGCTGTCAGCCTCTTCCAAACACAGAATCCGAGAAGATGTGTGTGCGAAATTGCACTGCGTGATGCAGTGTGTGACCCGTCCCTGTGCCCCGTGAAGGGGGCCCCCTTCTGCACCTGCAGGTGTAGAAGCATGAGAAGCTTTGCTTGTTTGATATGAAAAAGAACTAAAAATTTAGATGTAATGCCACAATTCCCTCACTTAAAGAAACCGGCTGTGCAGTAAAGATAATTTTGTTTTATTCACAGTAATAAATATTTAAGGTTTTAGTAAACAAAATAATTAAGTACTGATAATCAATGCAGCTCTCTAATTTTTTTAAACTGCTATTTTCATGCTAAAGGCCCACAGAAGTATAAGATTTATTATTATTATTATTGATATTATTAAAAGTATTCCAACCTTAATTTGTCTGCAACAGTACTTGGGGCAGAGGTAGCCAAAAGCTACAAAATTTAAAGAATGAGTTTCAGGTTTGTGTGATGAAACCACAATGTTAAAATCTGCCGCACGGGATTTCAGTCTCTTTCTGCCCAATGTAAACACGGCCTTAGCATTCAGTAAAGGCATACAACTTTTCAGCCTGGAAAAGAAAACCACATTTCCATAGTGAATGCTGTGTGATCTGGGAGCCACGGACGCCTCACCTGATGAACCATTCCGGACCAGCCTCTGGTTAGGGGCACTGCCTCATAGCTGGACCTCAGGTTCCACATTACGACATTTTAAACAGAGCTGCAGGTGCAGACACCATTAAAACACTCCTAGATCTTGAAGTCTTAAATTTCCGCAAGGGAAATCACGTCATACAAAATGACGGGAGAATCTGTATCGTGTTCCTAACATGGGCTACACACCACGAAAAAAAAAAAAACCATGCAAACCCAACGATGACAGGTCCTCCTTGTGATGAACGCAGTCCATTGTACAGTAACCGGACAGGCAGATACTAGGTGCGCAGGTCTGTAATGGAGAGAAACTGGATTGCTGTGTTAAGACGGAGACCCAGGTTCCATTTCACTACTGTAATTCAGTAATGCTGCCAAGATCTGGCTCACTTGCTAATTTATTTTATGATGATATTCTAGGTAAAACTTTCATTGATTCACTTCTTTCCCTAGAAGCCATCTGGAGCATCCGCCTTCCACTACTGATAGTATCTCATTTTCACAGTGGCATTGGGAATAAATGCACTTAGCTTGATTTTAAGCCACATTCACTCGATGTGAATTTTAAGCCATGTTCATGGCATATTTTAAGAAAGTTTGGGTGATATTTGCTTATGATTTTCATGAGCATATTTTCCTCTATCCAACTTACAAATATCAAAAAATTAACCCCAAACAGTGCAAGTTGTCATGAATATGGCTCTTAGTTTTCTCCAGTAAAACTGCAGAAAGGGTACTCGAGACTTCAACATACATTTCACTTTCTAAGTAAAGGTCCCACAGTCTTTCCCAAACCTTCTGCTCATGGTTAGATGCACAAATAGTTGCCTCATACAATTATTGGAATTATTAAGAACCCAAATAAAACACAAGCTTTCCTTTATTATTATTGTTTTCTTACTGCAACAACTACTCAGTTTCTGGCTGATGCAGTTTTAAGCTTTGATAGCTTGAATTTTAAATTTGGTCATATTAAGAATGATCACAAAGGTTTTTGTTTTTCATTATCTACAGAGATTTTAACCAAAGTTACATTGTAACACACAAACGCTGTCTTGTCTTTAAGGCACAACACATCAATATGAACATTCTGTTTGCCAAACTTAAAAAAGAGACAATATTAGATTCCCATTTCCCCCCCACCTTCCCTCCCTGACAAATGAAAGAAAAATTGCATCCACTTTCAAAATCAGCTGCTAATAAAGTCACAGTAAATTATTTGCATCAATAATTTACACAAATTACAGGTCTAGATAGGATTGTCCTTATACAGTCTGAGTGCATTCCAATTCAGATTTTCTGGGCTAGGTAGGCTAAAGTCAGATTCAAACCTCAGGGCTGAGAAGATTTCTCATTTTGAGGAATGTTGTTGAACACCACCTCGTCAGACAGAGCGTGTCTTGGTGTTTTGCCAGGGTAAGAGTTCTTTGCCAAAGCTGTTAATTCCAGTTAGGACTCATTTGGTGTGTACCAGCAACCTCCACAGATTTTTTTTAAAAAAACCATTAAAGTGTTGTAAATATAAGACCATAGAGCTTCTTTTCTGTAGCACTAAAGTGTAATTCCGTGCAGCAATCTGAATTCTTCCTTCTGGAATTTTCATTCCAAATATGATTTCATCCTTTAAGACAATTTATATGTGTAAAGCCAGAGGCATTGAATCACACATAAAAATTCAGTGTACTTGAAATATAAAAAAACGGATCTCCAGCTAGAGAAAACAGTTACAAATACTCTAATTCCAGTGCTTGATGTAGAGCCAAGAGGTCTGAGTGACTTGATATCCTCCAAAAGGGCATGTTGTGCTGTAAGGTTAAGAGAGGGAGGATGGGAGAGAGAAGGGGAGGAATGGAGAGAGATCACAACGGTTGTCTCAGTGAAGCAGCAGTACACAGGGTGTGTGGTTCACCCCAGTTCAAGGCAGGGATGATCATTCTTGAAGGCGTGGTAGCATCAATGTAGTATTGTCAAAATAATAAAGAAATAGATCTGAACTGGATTTTAATGATCATGAAAGCAAATATTGAGATTTCTTAATTTATTTAATATTTATTCTGGAAAGCATCATTACCAACATCAGCATCTGGGAAAGCAAGGTGTGCACCAAAATCCTACGTGGCTGATGGAAAGCAAGTTTTAATTGCTGCGTCACTCCTTAAAGTCTCTCAGTTAAAATCAAAATTAAAAAACAATAAACTTAAGTCCAAGGCTTTTTGTCTATTTGAGAGGAAGAGGGTGAATTCTTTTCAACGCAAAAAATAATTTGAAGCTGGACTATATAAGGTAGAAAAAATGTAGAGATGATCAACTTTCTTACTTGTCTGGGGTAAGTAATAACTTAAGCCGGTAGAGTCACCCTGATTTATTTCACTGGTGCTGGATCGAGTGAAAGCCCTCCAGCATCCATTCTCAATGGGGGACATATCACCCCCAACGGGACAAAAATGGGTTCGTGTGGGGAAGAAGTTCTTAGACATTATATGGTTTGTGGCTCTCCAAAGATATACTAGTATACAGTATATGTACGGTATTAAAATTTCATGAAGGCGGGCCGGCTCCGTGGCTTAGCGGTTAAGTGCGTGCGCTCCGCTGCTGGTGGCCCAGGTTCGGATCCCGGGTGCGCACTGACTCACCGCTTCTCCGGCCATGCTGAGGCCGCGTCCCACGTACAGCAACTACAAGGATGTGAAACTATGATGTACAACTACCTACTGGGGCTTTGGGGGAAAATAAATAAATAAATAAAAATTATAATTAAAAAAAAAATTTCATGAAGGGGTGTGATTAGGGAAACAATGTCTAAAAATACTCCATTGTGGACGATAACGAAAAAAAATAATACACTATAGCAATTAACAAAACCAAAGCATTATTTGTAAGTTTGGGTTGATGACATCTTGCAGAATACATATATATGAAATATATATTCATATGTATAATGGAAACATATAAATATATAACATGGAAAAGACATTTTATTATAAAAATTAATCATTAAAATAATCACTATTGTTATATAATTCTTTGCTGTCCAATATGGTAGCCACTAGCCCCATGTGGCTATTGAGCACTTGAAATGTGGCAAGTCCAGTTCAAAATACATATCGAATTTCAAAGATTTAAAATGTAAAAAAAAAGGGGCTGGCCCAGTGGCATAGCGGTTAAGTTTGTGCGCTCCACTTCAGCAGCCCAGAGTTTGCAGGTTCGGATCCCAGGCATGGACCGACGCCCCGCTTGTCAAGCCATGCTGTGGCGGCGTCCCATATAAAGTAGAGGAAGATGGGCACGATGTTAGCCCAGGGCCAATCTTCCTCAGCAAAAAGAGGAGGATTGGCATTGGATGTTAGCTCAGGGCTAATCTTCCTCACACACACAAAAAAACAAATAAAAAAATAAAATAAATAAAATGTAAAAATAGAAGAATGTAAACATCACATTAATAATTTTTATATTTATTATGTGTTGAGACAATAATATTTTGAGTATATTGGGTTAAAATACATTACTAAAATTAATTCTACCTGTCTCTTTTTACTTTTATTTTAACATGGCTTCCAGAAAATTTAAAATTACAAATATGGTTTGCATTATGTATTTCTACAGGGGAGTGTGGTTATACATTAACTATTCCTAGACTTAGAAATTTCTTCTTAAGTTTACAAAACAAACTATGTTTTTAGGTCAAATTAAAGCACAGAAATTCATCTAGAAGTAACATTTTTTCATTCAGCTCAGATCTATTTGTATTAACAAAATATACTTTATATTTCTGCACATGCGATTGTATAGCTACATCCAAAGAAAAGCATGCATTCTGGATACTAGAGAAACCAACCACCTGTGTTTCAAAATAGAATTATAAGCCTCACTCACCATCACCGAAACTGTACCTACACAAACAACCATTTGGAAACAGCATTCTAATGAGATTCCTACCCATTTGGAGTCGTGCTTTTTCCTCCTGAAGCTTTAAGTGTAAAGCAGAGAGTGTAACAACTGGTACACCGAGTCTAGTTTTCACACCATGGATAACTGGGGAAGACTTGATAAGTTTTAATTTTCAAAGGCATACACGGCTTCTGGTTTGAAAAAGTGAATTTTATTACCCCTGACTTAGATATGTGTGAATTTCACATAGGCTAAAAGACGTGTAAAATGTTTGCGGCAGTGGCTGCGTCGACTGCTATCTGCTGTGTGTAACTACGGTGCCAATACGAAAACCTGGAACGACACAGACTCAAGACCTGGACAGATTCCAGAAGTATTTCAGTTGTGTGCAACTGGAGGGACTTCAGATAGCAGTCAGCAATGAAAGTTGTACTCCTTGAGGCTCCATCCCTGACCTCACACAGCACGTCCTTGGGGCCAGCGTGCCATCCTGGGTCGCTGACGCTGCTAAGTAAGACCCAGGTGCTCCACGGGAGGCAGAGCCTCCACCAACTCGCTTACTGTCATGGAAAATTTCCAGTACAGCTTCCAACACTTCACCAAACCTTCTAAAGTGGAAGCTCCTTCTCTTTCTCCATTTTGCATAATTTAAATTGACTACGAACATAAATCATTTCCTTTATCTTCCTATTATAGCTATAAACTTTTCTAAGAAATTGTTAATGGTGATTTTTTTTAGAAAACAGAAATCAGGTAAACACTCTAGCACATGCAAGTGTTTCATGAAAGCTTTATTAGATGATGATTGGAAATCTTCTCAGGATAAGATAAGAAGACAATATTTTTTCCAGGTAAAACAACATAAGCTGATATGTCATTGTTTAAAAATACTAATTCATCATTTTGCTTTGTTTTATAAATTATATCACTTTTATCCCGGCTAGATGATATTCTGCCATCACTCAGTGAAGGAAGCTGTAGGTCTCAGTGTTGGGTTGACTGATGGTCTGTTGTCTGGGGCCAATCATGACATCACTCCTCTTTTGATCTTGGACCAACATTTAATGGTTTTTAACTGCCTTGATTTCTTCTTCAGAAATACAGGCCAGATGAAAAGGCTTATTTAAATACCTCAGGCCTATGAGATCTTCTGAATATATTCAAAGCCAGCTGCTTGCCTTCAATCAAGTACCAATGGCTCACCAAAGCAGACAACACTCTTCTAGAAGACGTGAAGCATGTTGCCTCTAAGTCTCTATGACAAGTTGGCACAAAAGGATCTGAATAACACATCTCATTCCAATAGCATTTATTAAAGTCTCTAGCAACAGTTTTTTCTTTGGCTATGAAATCTACCCTCAGCATTTATCATCAAGGAGCACATTTACCACTAGGCAGTCACAAGGACCATCTGGCACAGAGGATGGATGAGGGAAAGGATAAGAACTGAGCCACTTGCATGATTTTCTATGGAGCTCATTAAGTTTCTTTATCTTGTAAAATTTCATGTGCTTAAACATGCTTATTTTGCCCATCTTTCTTACAAACCACTATATCTGTGTGTGTTATACACATAGACATGGGAATATAACTAAATTTTCCTACATTTCCTATCAAATTTCAGGCAAAAAATGCTAGACTCCAAATGGTTTATTTGAATGTAAGTATTGACCTTCTCATGCTCTTACTGCTTTGCATCTATAAATTGAAATCATTTGTCAAGCTGCCATCGGGCCAAACTACAGGAATGCAAACAAAAAAGCTTGCATTAGAAGGATCACACCAACATTGTTTGAGACAGGTTACCTTTTTTGCTGCCTGTTCTTCTTCTACACCATCCCCAATTACAACATATACTACTTTTCTGCCAAACCTTTGCATTATTCGTTCAAAGCAACTTTCTTTTCCTGGAAGATAAATGAGATAAAAGTTCAGAGTGAAGTTACCTGGTTAGCGGCATGCTCCTCATCTCGGCCATCTCCAATCACAACATAAGTTATGTTAGTGCCAAATCTGGACACTATACGTTCAAAACAGCTTTCCTTGCCTGAAAAACAATGCACTGCTTATTCTTCCCGCCACTGCATTCATTAACCTGAAGATTCATAAAGTGTTCAGTTAATTTCTCTTGAACATCGATCACTTTAAGTAGCTCACCACCTCTGGGTTTATGAAATCAACCAATATGTCCGAATAATGTAAATCTTTACTTGAGACAGATTATTAAAAAAATGTATTGCACACTTCAAAAAAGTCAGTAAGGTTCAGCATTTGACCCAGAGAAACTGTCACCACCAAAAGAATGTCAGAACGGCTTTACCAGCAACTAGGAGTTTTAACATTTGTTTAATTCTGTATATTAGTTTTATCTAGTTTAAGTAGGATAGACAAGTCAGCTGAAAATATTATTGTGAAAAACTGAAGGTTCCTCTATAAGGAAAGAGGAAATACTAAGATGTGGATGTATTTTGATAAACAACTCCTTTCTTCAAGGGGCTGGGAGCCAGTCTGTTCAGATTAGCTGTACTAAGGGTGCTGTTGCATTGGCCACCGAGCTGGCGACACCAGTCTCTCCTCTGACTGCACTGTGGGAACAACACTGTGGTATTTCTACATGTTCTTCTTGTTCACAACATTGGCATTAGTCTCTGAATTTCATTCCCAGAATGTTCATGCAGTCATGGCTACTTTTGCATTTTTTCTTAATCTGATAGCTCAGAACTCCAAAAACAATACTAGCTTAAAGAGAAAAATAAAAATGATTTTTTTTTTTCAGATTAAACATAAAGAAAAACCTGGCCAATAAAAAAGAAGATTGTCCTCACTAAAAGAAATGTTTATGCTGGTATAAAATTATTCGATTTCTCAAAAAGCAAAGTCAAACGATATATTAATCCTGCTAGCATAAATACACACATTTATGTAAAAAATGAATGGGATTGGTAGTGGGGCTCTGAATTGTAGTGCTTATGACACTGTGGCACTTACTTTATGAAAGCTTGGCTCTCTTTAACTCCACTCCTGAAACAGCTGCAGCTGGGGTCCTTTTCTGCCTGTGCCAATATCAAAACTCCGCAAGGCCCAGGGCAGGTTATTTTTGGTAGGGGATTTTAGGATTTTAAACTCTTGTCAAGGTGCCAGAGCCTAAGTTTGTTGACCTTCAGGCCACATTAGACAACCCATCCATTTCCCCAGGCATTTCCTTGACACACAGAGGACTATGGGAGCTGTTTTCTTTTAACTCTTTCGAGACAGCAGAAGTTGATGAAGTTTTGTTTTTGAAAGTTTATTAGAAGTCTTAGTCTGTGACAGGTACTTAAAGTCAAAGATGGCTCCCTGGACAGACATTTCCAAATAAACAAGGTTGTAGTTCTCTGATTGCTACTGAACATTTTTGGAAATGTGGATTTCCAGCCATTCATGTTATGAATGCCCCACTTATGTTTTCTGATTCATAAAATTCTTTATTTTTTTCTGGAATTAAGGACACTCATTCAATCCATCTGTCACTCTTCTGTAATGCCAAAATAGTATTTTTAATCTTAAATCTATATTACTGCATATGCAGGAATTCAATACTATGTAACATACTCATTAAAATATTAAATAGCACAGCTAGAGATATTCTATACTATATAAACAACATGTGCCATAATGAAATATAAATATAAATATATATGAGTATATATATAAAAAGTCAGAACTAGCCAGATACTGAGCTCAGAATTTCACTAGGCAACAGTTTTATAAAATTTGCACATGTACAATGAGTTACAGGGGACTTTGTTATTAAGCTCTATTTAAATTTGCTTGATATTCTAGCAAAATCGATGAGAGAGGGAATCACACAGAGACACACGTTAAGAAAATCCCCCAAAACACAGACGTAAACACATTCCATACAGAGTAAGAAATAATTCTCTTACCTATTTTAGTTGCACTGTAAATATTCTCAATGGGGAAGGCACCTCCTAAACTATAGAGCAGAACCTTCGCAAGTGCTGGGATCAGTTGCGTTGTTGTGACCAAGACATTTACGCAGTTACTCCTAAAGGAGGGAGGAAACATGCATATTTGTTTTCTAATACTAAATAACTACTAACAGCACAGATTTTACTGTGCTGTGTTCAGTAATTTTATTGTCACTGTGTTCTCTCAATTCCATAATCAATGGCCCCTGATAATCTAACCTTTCAATATTCAAGAGTTACTTGTGGAGTGCCTACTACCCGTCAGGAACCATGACAGATGCTAGGAATACATCCCCAAATGGGCAAAGTGGAAGAAAATGGGCAAAAAGAAGTCATGGGTGAATGAATTTTTGTCCCCGCCCCAGAACATAAGATCGATAAGGAGAGAGACAAGAAAAGAGACAGCTGCAATATGAATGTGTTCCAGAATAAAGATCTCCTCAGGTCCCCGTGGAACCTCAGGGAAGAAGACCTACCTCAGCCAGCAGCAACCATGGGAAGGTTATCAGAGGGGGCTGGCCTAGCTCTAAGTTTACAAGCATCCAGATCAGGTATTGTTTAGGGGGACAGGACTCCATGTCCTAGGATTTTCAGAGTCTGGGAACACAGAGGACATAGGCAGAAAGAAGCTGATGGACGGTTAAAAGCAGTTTTTGGATTTTGTGCATGAAACAGCCCAGAGAGTCCCAGTCAAGTGGCTGACAGATGCGGATCCTGAAGAAGTAAAATGAAGAGGATCCTTATTTAGGACAAAAGGGGCTGAATCCATGAATCTCCGTCTCAACAACAACAAAGGGCAAACTGCACTCAATGGGCCCAGTTTTAATCTGTCCACAAAGGCCCTACCCTTTGAGAGTGAGAATCTCCTGTTCTGCAATTTACAGCTGTTTCTTTCAAGGGAATATTAGTGGGAGATAATGGACTCACCAAGAGAGTGGGATTGTGAAGCAGAGATTGGAGAGAATGGACGGTGGCCCTTCCTTCTGGATTACGGGGAAACTGAGCCATCCTGCCTCGAGGGGCTCCAACCACACATGTGAAACTGAGAATCAGAAGCCATATAGCTATGGACCTTTCTCTATTGGATGTTTTGTATCACAAGCCTTTAATACATATTTGTAAGGGCCCATAAAATACTCTCTAGAGTTCTCTAGATTGATTTACAGAAACGTGGTTGCAATGGCAACTCAGAAGAACAAGTTGAGTGCTAATTTTTGATGGTATGTATAGCTTAGCCCACAGTACACTTAATATTATGCTTATATTCTTTAGAAATATCATGTGTAAGGAAAAACTATAATTTATTCAAAAACAATCATAAAACCTTTATAACTATAGCCTTTTAAAACATTTTCATTTCTAAATTATCTCCCCAGACACCTGATTTTGTAATAGGAGCTCTAACTCTTGGAAGCAAATGATGAGGTTATCAACTTATATGGGATAAAGAAACAAAGACTTCTAGAGGTAGAAGTTTAATAAGTATCATCAATATAATCCCTAATTTTACTGATGAGGAAATAAAGACCTAGAAAGTAACTTGCCTATTATCAGACAGAAACTCCCCAAATAATGGCTGATTATTAAGAATAATATACAAACACATTACGATATTGTGATACTTAAAGTTCTACATAATATTTTGTCAAAAGAAGATGCTATACAATGTGACATATAGATGAAAGTTACAGAATGAAAACATGATGGAACAAAATAAAGCACAGGCTTTTTAAGTTTTGAGATGTGGTTTTGAACTCTAGCTTCACCACTTAACCCTGTGTGATATCTGGAGTTACATCATTTCTTTTTTTAATTACAGACATTGCATATACTTACAAATTGCATATATATAAACCACAAACATTGCATATACTTATAGGTATTTATAACGCACTGAAATTATTAATTACAAACACTGTATATATTTATAAATTGCATATATACATTTGTAAAACACAGACAAATATAAAGAAAATGAAAAGCATCAATTATTTAACCATCAAGAGATGGTACCTGCTATCCCCTTTTTGTGTATTTACTTTCAGATTTTCTGTTTGCCTATAGGTTTTTTTCCCACTTAGAATCATGTTATATATATAATTTTGTATTATAGTTTTTTCATTTGTTTATATCATGAACCTATTCATTTATGTCATGTTGTCTATTATTCCCCGTCTCCCAGCAAAACATAATGTGTGCAAACCACTCTACCATGGGGCTGCACCATCATTTATTTGTGTGTGTGTGAGGAAGACCAGCCCTGAGCTAACATCCAATGCCAATCCTCCTGTTTTTTTTTCTTTTTGCTGAGGAAGACTGGCCCTGGGCTAACATCCGTGCCCATCTTCCTCCACTTTATATGGGACGCCGCCACAGCATGGCTTGACAAGCGGTGCATGGTGCATGCCCAGGCTCCAAACCGGCGAACTCCGAGCCGCCGCAGCGGAGCGCACCCACTTAACCACTTGCGCCACCGGGCCAGCCCCTGCACCATCATTTTTCAAAGTTAAGCTTAGCCACTTGCCTGGTTTTTGATTTCTCAATATTATAAATAATGCTACCTTACATTTTTCCTACACATTTTTCCTACACATTTGCTTATGTCCTTCGACTATGTTCATAGAAGAGGAATTAGAGTCAGAGGGTACAAACTTTGCTAAAGGCTCTGATACATAATCCAGCCATGTTTTGTATATGCATCTGTTTTTCTGATACCCCAGGACATTTTGTGAAAATTACCAATATCATAATACATGTGGATAAGTTAGCAAGCTTCATGGCACTTAAATCTTCAATGTGTAATGGCTTATTTTCCCCTTCCTTTCCTTGTTAGACCCTCATTTATTTCTTAAAATCACATACGCCTGTAGTTGCTTTAAGGCCATGTGTTGAATAATGATCTATATATAATATGTTATGGATAACGTGTAATCTATACAATAATGTAATAATCTTTGGTTTGTAACTATCTAGGAGACTTCTTTTAGAAATAATGAAAGCTGTTGACCTCGTCCCCAAGGAAATGCACATTCCACCACACTTTACACACAATTTCAGGGGCTCAGGAGTCCTCACCCCAGCTTCCTTGATTTTTGCTCTCCATGTCACCAGTCACAGAGATCACGAGCCAGCAGGTTCCATTGTAAACAGTGTTAATTGTTAGACAATTCTTCCTTACATGGAGCCAGAAACTCCCTTCCCAGGATTCCTACTATTGGTCCTAATTCTCTCCTTTACAGACACAGAGAGAAATGTAATTTATTTCCAGCCTAACATCTCTAACAGTTGAAATCGGTAACCTTGATTCACACACAACTCTTCTTCAGACTAAACTCTTTGGTTCCTCCTTCCAACTGTTCCCTTTACATGGCTTCCACAGCCTATACCCTTCTGGCCACGTTGCTGGACTTAAGATGCTTCAAATATGTCACAGCCCCTGTTGGAATGTGTCGCCCAGAACTGAGCAAAGGACTCCATTCTGGCTTCCCCAGGCTGACCCAGAAAGCTCCTGCCCCCACCTCCCCACGTAGACTTTCTGCTACCACTGCAGTTACTGGTCATGCCACACGGGGAGAAGCCACAGGCAGGATTTGACACACACTGTTTTACTTCCATGTTCTGAATACTGGACTCTCCTTTTCCCCTGCCAAGGTTTTTCTGTATCCTGATTCAATCAGCCCAAATATCTCTTTCTCTGAATTTTGTGTTACCCACAAATTTGCTAAGCATGCTTTTATTTATTCATCTAACTCAGAAATGAAACTAAAGAACAGGATAGCATAAAGATTCAACCTCATCCTACTAGCTATCACTTTCCAGATTTATATTACTTTATGAATTGGCATTTATGGCACATGGTGTTCAACTAATTATAAGTCTATTCAATTCTATTATTTACACTAACAAGTCAGTATTTCACTGTTTAGTTCAAACAACACAAAGGTGACATGTTTTTCAGGAGTTTTCTCTTGCTTTTTTGACACATTTAAATTATGTATATTATCTGCAATGGCCTAAAAGACTTAAAAACATGACTCTTGGTAGAAACAGTGTTGTTTTGTTTTTCCCATCATCTCCTGTACTTTGCCACCAACAGAGAGCTCTCTTTTTTTTTGCATAAGAAGTCACATGAGTTTCCTGTGGGGATTATCAGTGGTCACGAGGAGAGAAGGGTAGAGAGATGGCATCTCCCGGTTATTCCCGTCCTCCACCCCAAAACACACACACACACGCAATGAGACTGAAAAATCACTGGACTCAGTGAATTCTTTGGTCCCTTTAAACCCTAAAATAGTCAAGGAACTAAAACATTTTTATAGATGTTGTGCTATTAGAACTACATCTTCAATACAATAAATAGAGAAACTGCACCAATACCACTTACCTAGTACTAATAATTGATAAAGACTTAAGTGCATTTGTTAGCCAGGAGTCCGTGAGACCTTCAATCTCTGCCCTCAATTGCAGCCACGCGTCTCTCTTGGCAGGGCCAAGGAGTCCTGCAACACCAAAAATCGAGGCAGAGTCAAGAGATGACCATTTTTTAGGAATACCTAGTTTGGTCCCCCTACTGTCTAGTACAGATAATGTTTATTCCAGCCCATATCAGAAATGGAGAGAGAGATCTATTTGTGTCAATTCTGATCCTTCACTTCTGAATTGACTATCCATTCATTCATTTAACAAACGTTTACTGAACAACTTCTAGAGGTGAGGTACTGGGCTAAAAACTCGGGACGTAACAGTGAAAAAGTGGGTCACAGTCTTCGCCCTCACTGAACCTAGAATCTGGCACAGCGGATGCCAATCACTCGAGGAGGTGGGAACTCCCGGGGCCTGGGTCCCACCCCGACTGTGATGCCATAGGTCTGGAGGAGAAGGTAGAGTCTACCAGCCTAGGGATACAAACTGCAAATAATTTGGCTGCCTGAAATGTTTAGTTTCTTAATAATCACAATCATTACCACTTTGAAACAGTAATAATGGCATTATCATATATTAGCTATAGAATGTTTCTAATATTAATGTGAAAGCTATTACAAACACTTTATTTGACAAAGAGAAGTTAAGAATTCTTTTTAAAATCATGAAGGGTGTGACAGTTATAAACAATAGTTAAAGATTACATTGGTGTTATGATGAAAAAAGAAGTAGGCATGCTAATTTTTTATTTAATCCCTTGCTTTTATGATAAAACAAGATCATGTAAATCCATTAAAAAGGAAAATTTCTTATTTAAATCATATTTCAGAATACTGGGAGAACATATTTTTGTGTCAGCTTTTTAAATCAAGATTTATAGTTTCTAGCAAGTCTCATTTATCCTTATTTCAATGAAGAGATGCTAACACATCACAGAAAATTGACTCACATGTCATTGTTTAAACTTATTAAGATATACGATTATTTATTCGTAATCTTGTTAATTTTTAAATAATTTTAATAATAGCCTTCAAGAGGGAAATAATGACATACCTGAATGATAAATTTCAGATTTCCCCAAAGGATATTTATTTTAAAGTTAAACGTGTTACCCACAACTGATTTTAAATAGAATATCTACTTATTTGATTTTATAAAAGTGTCTTGTATAGAGCACTCGAATGAGTGAGGAAATCTGAGTTATCCTTTAGGACCTTGGGGAAGTCAGTCATCTGCAGAGGCCTGTTTCTCATCAGAAATGAAGGTCTTCCATATCCAAGCTCCTTTTTGGTTCTGACATTATTATTATTGTCTATGGTTCTACATGTTTTTGTTCTCTTGTAGTTATTCAGCATCTATTAATCATCTGTGATATGCTCAAGGCTAGTTAGGTAGCGGGGATACAAGGTGAACAGACACACAGCCAACTCCCACGAGGTGTATGGCTGTGTGAAATACATCTACTATAGAGGAAAATTGACTATATTGTATCCTATGACACATACATGGATATACAGATGTCTAATATGCACACATATTTATCTGTATCATTCCATTTTAGATTCTGGTTTATGTTCCTCAATCATCCTTCCTTGTTTTAAAAAAAGGGAAACAAGCAAACCCTGGGAGAAGAATCTTACGTGACCTCATAACTAATCTGAGGATTTTCTTGACCTAAAATTGATCCTAATCATAGAGATCACCAAGCTTTATTGTATCACGAAACTTCAAGGATCTTAGTTCTGATATCACAAGTTTTGAAATCACCTGTAATATATGGATGAGTATAAAATAGGTTAGATGTTAACTACAGAGTATTTGAACTTTTAAATACCATGATAATCATAATTTGCACTACACAAGGGAAAGATATACTGTCAGGCAACATGCAGTTTTTAAATGGCTAGAACAGACTTGTTGAAAGTCTTTGAAATGACGTAAAGCACTATTTATTTTTACTTCTGACAGGATTCCAGAAAGACCATAATTGCTAACAACTCTGCTTCAATGACAGGGCTCCTGTCTGTAGACAGGTCTTCTTCCCACTGCCTCCATTGGTCCCTCTGTCTGGTTTTCACTGAGAGCATCCAAGGAACAGCTGAGGAAGGATAAACTAAATGCTCTGCTGTCAATCTTGACCAAATGTCTGGGAACAAAGATGTCCCAATGCCTTTGACAGAGCTGCACGTTTTATTTTGCAGTTAGATTTTTTCCCCACCTACTCTAAGAAACTTAAAATTCTGGCTCAATGTCGTTCAGCATGAGCTCTTGGTAATTTATCTTACAGTAGGATAGTCTCCAACACGGAATATGGAACTACAGTTCAAATTCTCCCTCTATCCACAGTGCCTTTATGAGATTTAAACAGCCACACGTACCTCCGACATTGTTCTTGTAGGTGTTGTATAATTCTTTTACTCTTCTGTAACGAAAAGCCAACTTCCTCATCCAGTCAACCCCTCCTCTTACACCTGTTGGCAAACAAAGGTTTGCACTACTTGCAGCTGCATGGAAGCCATCAGTTGCAAAACTGTAGGTACTGCAACACCCAAAATACATTAAAAAGAGATAAAAGAAATAAAATTACATGTGCAAAACTCCATAGTTGAATTTCTGTAGGAAACAGCATACTGAAAGGCAGGGCTTACCTTAAATCCTGCCCGTTATCATCTGAGGAAACATCATCTATATGAACTTGATCACATTCCTGTTAAAAACATTGGAAAAGTTATTTGTTTTTCAAATGATGCTTGTCACCATGTTTGAAGACTTGACCATCTTTCCATCTGATCAGGCTATGGCCAGAAGAGGGCAGCATTTGCCCATCCATCTCGCATCTCCCACTGGGACCCGGCATCATTTCTACTCTGAGATCTAAATCCAGAAGAGTGCCATAAAAAGAGGCCTGAAAACATAGGGCATATGGGTTTCTTTAGAGCAATTTAAAAAATAATTTTAATCTTTACATTATTGATAAGAAATTCTCTTTTGAATCTTTATAATCACCATTTGTGTTCATCTGCAGCCATTTCTGTGGTGCATCCTTTAGTATGGAAGCAAAGCTAACCCGAACATGCACAAAACTTGTCTGGTCTGAACACCTCGGGTGGTTACCATCATTTATTATTTGTTGAGCAGCAACAGAGGGCCTGGATGTTACGGTGTCCTGTGAGATTTCTACGGCTTCCTGCTTTTTGCATGGCCTTGTTATTTTAAAAGTCCTGGTCTTTTAAAGCAGAAAAAAGCTAATAACCACAGAAACTGACATTTTCTTTCTTTCTTTTGTTCAAGTTTTTAAATCTTCAAACTGAAAAGAATACTTATAAGTAAAAGGGAAATAATGAAGATTTCCCATCTCTAATGTGCTACAAACTCAGAGGAAAATAAACCTGATGTACATACACCTGCAATTGACCTAAGTTATAGTGTGTTCAGAACAAATGGTCACTTTTCTGAATAAGAATTCAATTCTTCTTTGTTATTCTCAGAATTCTATTCTACCTTCAAATAATCTGCCAAGTTCCAGTGAATTAGTACATGATCTGAAGGTGGAATCTGGTGAGGGCATTTAAAATACCTGGTCCTTACTAACCTCCGGAGACGTATGGTTTCGCCTTTTTTCCCCTTAAATTATTTCAGCCATATTTACAGATTCTGACTGTATACGTAGAGCTTACCATTCAAAATCAATTAAAAAAATTACTAACTTTGAACATAGGATGTCATACTAAACAAAAGCTTTTCAGCTACTATTTAAATTCATTATAAGACTTGGAAGTGTCTGGTAGTGAAATACTTAATATCTTGTCTCCAGCTTTCCACATGGAGTATATTAGATCCTGTTGCAGTGTGACAATAAATTAGTTGACTCAGGCTTCTTTTAAAACATAAAATTTAGTGACTAGCCAATCAATACAATTTTGGTATATAACTTGAAAATCCAGGTAAATTAATTTTAAAGCTTCATATGACTTACATAAATTATGGGTTTAGTAATTTTTGAATAAATCTCTACCTACATTCGCAGTTAAGGAAGAGCCCTGACAAGTAATCTGACTGGAAGCCTCTGGAGGGGGGTGTTTGGGCCACTCAGATATACCCCTACCTGGCACCAACTGGCATAATCGCTCAACAATTCTTTCTTGAATAAATGGCGGAAGTCTAGACAAATGATAGTTCTGGACAGAATTATCTGAATTACTTAAATTTTCTAACACAAAGTTACAATGATATAAAATAATCATATTCTATATGGTAAGGACTGTGAGAAGACATTTGTATCACGATGGAGGGAAGAGCGAGAGAACAGAGTACGGGCTGAGACCACAGGTGTGACGGCAGGACAGCCACTTAGAAATATTCTTCCCCAATTTTGACTGCGTATTGGTTGATAGGGGTGCAGTTCAAACTTTAACCAGAGGAGGCACTATAATTCCAGAAAAATCTCCGGGAAAAGTATTGCAAGCAATAGTAGCTGCTGGATTGGGCTCTAAAGGAAAGGGTGGAGAGATTTAACCAGTTAGCATGAAAGTTGGAAATGAAATTCTTCTCCCAGAATATGGAGGAAGCAAAGGATTATTTCTTATTTAGAGATGGTGACATATCTTGGTAAGTATGTAGACTAAATTAAATTCTTATCGAAATGGTATCATGTGAAACTGCTCATTCCACTGAAGCTCTGAAATCTTTCATCATGTAAATAATTTCCATGTCTCTCTTGTATAATAAACTAATGATATCCAAATAAAAAGGGTGGAGGGAAATCCTTATGAATTACCCTGGTATTCAGAGGTTACTTCTATATTTAATACCCTCTCATCCTAATTTTTAGAGAAATTCCTCTGACATTTCAACTATTAACTCACATGATTAATTTGTATATTTTGCCCAAAAATTTATTTTTTAATCCTGAGGACATCAGTATATCAAACTTATTGGACCATGAGCTCCATATTTGAAGTTATGGTTGATGTTTGTCCAAATGGAACTTCTCTTTAAATTTATGCCTAGTTAACTCTGCTTGTTGACTCTGGACTCCTGCCCAAGGATTACAGTCCAGTGAAAGAAACCTGAACTTCAATCACTCACATTTTTAGAAAAATCTAAATAATTGTTCTTCAATTAGTTTTCACTCAGAGGAACTTTGCAGGAATCACTTTTAACAAAACCTGAATGACTAAAAACAGTGTAGTGCTTTGGCTTTAACAAATTTCAGTATAAGAACTCTGAAATCTGAATATCTGAAATAACTCTGGTACTAATCTTAAATTCTTTAATTTTGTCTTATACGGTGACCACAAAGTTGTCACTGATTTTTATCAGTTATAATCCACAGCAGTCTTCTCTCACTTTTGTGAGCTCCAACTCCCTGGTGCCTTCTTTTCTGGAAGTTATTCTAACTGAAATAACATCTTATTTAAACAGAGAGCATTCTCTTCTTAGGGGGAGCAGTGTGAGCATTTGCCTTCTCTGCAGTTGGGCAGGATGTAGCGAAGTGTCTATTAGGAGGATTTAAATTTGTATCTTTTAAGGAATTATGTGAGAGCAGCTGCTACTACATATGTTACAGTATCTATTGAAGGATTTGAGTCTCAAATTAGATTTTTAGGTTAAGAAAAGGAACCCTGAGAGATTAAACACACAAGTGAAAAAAAACCTAACAGGTTAAAGATGGAGTTACTCTCTTGAGGAATTTTCCTCTTTGTCAGTAGAAGCAGTAATAGCTTAAAACCAGTTATAAAGCCCATGACAATCTTTAGTTGCAAGGGTCTTACTGAAATAAAAATTGGGTAAAAGTCAAGTTGACTTTCAAAATCAAACGCAGAAGAACAGTGGATATAGCTATAACTGTACTGAATGACTGTGAAAGCTATTGTTTAGGTTTTATTAGTTTTAGTGCTTATTTATCTCACTTAAGTCAGTAGTAAGCCTTTGAGTTTCCTGGGGCACTTCATCTGGATGTGCACGTGTGCGTGAGTGTGTGTATGAGAATACAACTTATATGCAGAGACTCAATGATTTCATTGATGAAGCACAGTATTGTTGGATACTGAGTTTTAGTGTTTGAGTTAAACGGAATTTTCATCACATTCTAAAACACAACTAAAAAGCTATAATCACAGAAGAAAAAGTCAACAGCAATATTTTTTCACTTACTATTTCTACCAGAGATCTTGCTGGGTATTTTAAAAAGTATATTTTATATAGCATATAATCCAAAATAAAAATTCTTAAAGCACAGAGCTGACCACGTTTCTGATATGACAATATTCATGTGGAACTTCCTAAGGGTATTTGCAAATTCATCATATACTACTTTCACTTTCTCACTTTAGTGTTCTGTTAAAAATCGGGTGGTAAATTTATTCCATCTGGCTTCTAATGTGCCACTAAAGAAGCTAGAGGGTCATTTACTACCTTTATTTCTAGTAAAAAATAATTAATGAAATAAAAACTATAAAACTTGGATAAAATCACATAAAACTTCCTTTTTTTGTCTTTTAAAGTCTCAGAATTCTCTTTAGAATGAGACATCCATTTTAACAAACAGAAAAACCAACCTAAAATGTTATCACCGTATATAAAAAATTCAAGTTCCAAAAAGGCTAAAATGTGTTTTCCATTATCATGTATATATAAAATCACTCTGTACACTAGATAGGAATAAGTAGCAGAATTAATTTAAATGAAGTTTTAGAAAGGTGATTCTTATTTCTTATGATCTAAAACTGGAAACTTGCCTAGGAATACTGATCTTTCATATTGTCCATTAAAGAAAAAAAAAATAAAACCTTCTTAAACAGACAGCAATTTTATTACTCAGTAAACACAGTGGCTTGCTGCAGAGAAAATAACAACAACAACAAAATGCTATTACACAGATTTCCAGCACACACATTTATGGGATATACTGAACAACGTAGGTTTTATTCTTATGTCTCAAATGTAACTAAAACTGGATGTAAGACCTTGTCGATTTAAAAAACTTATTTAAGACCCTGACTGACTTGCTGGTTTTCTCACACCCTTCCGTTAACTTCGGCACGGCGTGAGGGCACAGTATGTGCTCCGGAGCCAGACAGACCCGAGATTCAAATCCCAGTTCTACCACTCGGCTAGCATGTGACCTCAGACTGATTTTTATGCTTGTGGACCCTACAGTTTCTCCTCTACAAAAATAATGTGATAAACATATTTATTTCAAATCGTTGTTAATTAATTAATGGAAAGTCCAATATAAAATGTTGAGCATAAGGTAGAGATTCAGTAATAATAATCTCCCTCTTAATTCATAATATGATTATAAACACTTTTATTTCTTTGTGAAGCCATAAGATAAAAATAAATTTAAATATGTCATTTAAAAAAAAAGAAATCTATTTCAGCATAGTTGCGCTTGACTGAGAAGTACTTCTGTCCGGTGCCCAAACTACTCAGTTATTTCAAATTTTACTGTCTGAATGCCTAATAACTCAGGTCATCAGGACCCAGATTATATACCTTATTACAGTACTTATCCACTGTCCTGAGGCTATTTTTTCTTGCGTCCTTCTGTGTTGTTGTGATTTTTACTTTCTCTTCATTTCAGGTTGGAAATGGAAAGATAAAATAGAAACAAGGAAATAAATGCAATCAAACCAGTCATGATGTGTTGTGTAAACAGCTCTAGCACTGTTTTATCCAGAAGGGGAGGAAATGAGGAGCGATAATGTCTAAAATTAGGTTTCAGATTATCTACAAAATTTAATGACCCATGCTAGCACCATGAATAATATCTGTGACTACTGTCCAGTGATCAACCTAACTAGTATCCTGGTTAGTAACCTGGAAAAGCTAATGCTGATTCTGAAGGTGCCATATGGGCTGTGCTTGAGATACCAAAAGGACCAGGAACAGTGTATGGGGGTGTACAGAGCTGGGTAGCGAAGCAGACCTTCTCTTCTGAGACACTTTTGTTCTAAATATGTGCCACTACGTATGTATAATTCATTAACACAATTCAGCTTTTGTTTCTATTTTTATATACAGTTTTTCCCCTTGACAGGAACTGTATTATTCTCTTGAGCTAAATTTCTATCTTTCAGTTTTCTTGTGGTTTTCTGCCTATACAGAAACCATCTAAGAGTTTTAATAGTTGTATACAACTATTCTTACCTTTTAAAATTCTTACCTCTAAATCATTAAAAAATAAATGTGTATCAGCAAGATTAAAAATCATTTCCTCCATTCGTAGTCCAAGGGTTACAGCCATGGGGGGATCCTGAAACAAAAATGCACACATATGAGGTAAAATTTCAGTAACCACAGTTATTATTAAAACTATTTTAAGTGTATATTGTTGTTGGGGGTGGGGATGGGGAGACTGTATGGGTTTTTACCTAAGATTCAAAAGATTTCTCAATTATATGAAAAGGCACCTTTCCAAAGAGTTATCCAAGACATACTAAATATACAGATATATCTGTGAATTTACAGGAATTTACATGCCCATGAAGATGACTTTGGATACATTTTCACATAAAGCTATATGTTCAAGAGAGGAGGAGGAAGAAAGCAAGAGTTCATATGACCCAGTTTATTGATACTCCCTGGAAAGTCCTTTGGAGAAAGGTATTTGGATGGGGTACTGAAGAATGGGGCAGACTTGTTAAAACAGGAAAGGATGTCTTTTAAGAATGATGACAAATAAGAAGTAGGAAAGGGAGAAAAGTAGGTCTATTGGATGTTTGTAGACTTAAGCAGACAATGTTGTCTGGAGGTGGGATAGGAAGAGCTGGTAGAACCTGGTGAAACCAACACTTAACTATTGCCTTTGATCAACAGGTGATATGTATCTGAATATAGTTTGGTCTAACCTGCACTTGACTAGGGATGAAGATGGAAGGGTCAGGAATAACTAAAGGAACATTAATTCAGCAAATGTAATCTAGGTAGAAAATATATACATTATATCAGAAGTTTAACAAAAGTGAAGGATTAGTATGGAGTCAAAATGACTCAATTCTTGTTCACAGAAACCAAGGTATTACCCAGCAGCAAGGAGCTGAGAATCAAGACCAGAGCTGCTCCTTTACCATGATTAACTGCAGCTGAATTTTAGCCTGGCATCCAGAGGTGTAAGACTTCAAAAACTAAGGAGAGGTCCAGCCCCGTGGCTTAGCGGTTAAGTGCGCGCTCTGCTACTGGCGACCCGGGTTCGGATCCCGGGCTCGCACAGATGCACCGCTTCTCCGGCCATGCTAAGGCCGCATCCCACATACTGCAACTAGAAGGATGTGCAACTATGACATACGACTATGTACTGGCGCTTTGGGGGAGAAATAAAAGGAGGAGGATTGGCAATAGATGTTAGCTCAAAGCCGGTCTTCCTCAGCAAAAAGATGGAGGATTAGCATGGATGTTAGCTCAGGGCTGATCTTCCTCACACACACAAAAAAATAATAAGGAGAGTTTAGGGACAGGGCCAGGGAAGTAATTCATGCACAAACGTTGTGTTTAAAAAGATCCAAGTTGAATGATCTCTAAAGGAGACCTGCTGAAGGTGCCTCTGGAGAAACAGAAAACAGAAAACCTGGAAGGGACAGTCCTCAGAATGTGAGACCAGATGGGCGCCAGCTAGGGAGAAGATATGGTTGCGAATAAAGCTGACAAGTCTAGAATGATACTATTGGCTTTGGTCTGAGAAGTTATCCCGAGAGGGTTGAGTGGCTGGGCCAGGAGGCAGACCGTAGGGATCTGAGGAGAGAGAACCAAATTCGTGTTTTCAATGTTCTAATAAATGGTATTTCGAGAAATGTATTTAAACTTGGGGAAATGTAATGCCAACTTTACTTCAATTTATGACAAGAACATGCAACCCAGGTCAGGCCAAGCAGTATTCATATACACCCCCAACTTATTCCATTAGCAAGTAGAAGCCCCTCCCCATCCACACCTACACCGCCACAACCCATTCTCCTCCTACAATTCCTCCTATAATGCTTTGAGGGGAAATCCTGGAGTGTAAACACATTTGCAGTGAGTGTCAGTCTCATATTCCATGGTGATTAAAACCTAGAAAATAGGAATTGAGTGCTAGGGAAGAAAGAGATCACTGAGGTGTGCTGAGCAAAGCTCAGACTTGATGTGGGAGAAGACGAAGACAGGACAATAATAATATGTTGGCTGTCAACATAATTTTCTAATTGTTGACATTTCTTCCTCAGAGATTTCTGTGGATTTCCTAGCTGGAGATTCTCTCTCCTCAGAAACAGATGTTCATCATTCACACAGTCGATGGCATCCTGGTGTCGTGTCCTCCAGGCAGCCTGACTCTCCCGCAAGATTCATCTGTCTTCCGGCGACAGGATCATTCAGAGCAATATATCCAAGAATTAAATAAGTTCCATTTTACTCAATAATAAGAACAAAAATATTGTGCCCATTTTGTGTCCCAGGAGTTTGAGAATTCAGAGGGATCTCTTGCTCTGTTTCCTTCAAGAATAAAATTCTTCCTTTTTCTTATTTCTTTTTGTTGTTCAAGTTTTTATTGTTCTTATTGAAAGAAAACCTCTGAGGGTTGAATACAATTTTTAAAAATTATACATTTTTTTTTCTGTTAAAAAATTACTACTTCTAGTCTCCCTCTCTCTCTTTTGGCAGGGATTAAATAGGCTGAGGACATAGAAAACTTGTAAATATTCTGTCTAGCCACGAGACCATGAACAAAAACTCTATAGAAATATCAGGAAAAATCAAATGTAATTATAGCATGAAAACATATAATTCCATTAGTGACGCTCTATGCTTTTGGGGAATGTTCACTGATGCAAGACTAAAACTAAGCTCCACACCACCCCGTCATGTTTCTGATGATTACTGCCCTAAAGATATGTATGTCAGATGCGGGTTCAGAAATGTCTTATTTAAAAGATTTTTCTCCTCGAGACTAGATTAGTTAAGTTCTCATCCTACCATTTGCCAGTTTCTCTTTTTTTAAGTTTTAAATAAAATTATTGAATTTCTTATGTTCATGCCTCACATTCTTTGCATTTACAGATCAGATTTATGGGGACGGGAGAAAACATACTGTTCCTCTTTGATTGTTACTTTTATCGATTCCACGCTTCTGAAGTACGTAACTCTCTATGCTACCCAAACAGCGACAGGAAAATCCATGAAGAATGCATTTCGTGCATCTGATAAGCATGCAAACAAATACAATTTTTGAAAAACCAACAAGAATTCTCTAACAAGTAAGCACCGCATATGGTATGATGAGCACTGCATTTGAGCACCCCACTGGAATGCAGCTCCGCGGTGCGGGAAGGGGCTGCTCACTGGTTTTTCAAGCCATGGCACTTCCACATCACACACTCCACGAGAGCCAGGACTGAAGGAGCGTTTTGGCAAAATAGCATTTGTTAATTGGGCAAGTTTAGGTTTGAGGTTTGCCGAAGTGTGAACTAGCTGTATTTTATTAAGGTTTCCAGAGACCAAGGCCTGTTGAAAGGGAGGTGTTTCGTCAGCCATGCCAAAGGCTTGGCACAGATGGGCTAGGGACAGCCACGCCACAAGCCAAGGAAAACCATGCCTGTAAGACGTGGTGATCTCTTACACGCCTGTAAGAGAATGTCTAGTGAGGGCATACTTTCAAATATTTAATTTTACCTTTTTTCTTTCCAGCTTATTGAGTCATTGGGACAGCTAATTCTAAGTAAGCAGACTACAGTACCACATTTTTCCAGCTAAAGGAGCCACAGATGTAAGAATCCAAGAAAGATGACCAAGAATTTGGTGGGGGAGACTTAGCCAGGTCTCTGTACTGTTGGGCACCCTCTTCCCTGCCAGACTCCCTCGAAGACGCTGCCAGGGCCTGTAGTTCCATGGTATTATCAGGCATTCACCAGTTAAACATACTTTTGGATCGAGTCCAAGCTTTGTACAGAGATGTTTGCTCATTTTCATTAGATGTTTGTAGAATTATAGGCACCTTATGAATCAAGGGTGACTGCCTTTTTTCAGTTTAACTGTTGTGAGTGTTGAGTTTAGGGTCTGAAATGAAGTGATAGTGAAAACTTGGATAGAGGGAAAAAGTAGGAACAAAAATACACTCACAGGGTTTTGTGGAAGCTCTGACACATATTACACACATATAGCAGCATTTCCAATCCAAGTATCTACAGAAAGGCTTAAAGCGGGGCAAACTGAACTGCCAATTTACTCTGCATACCACCCTATTAAAATACTGAAACTATTCCCAAGACATTTTGTTAGAGAGACAGAGGAGGAAGATGAAGAAAACGAATCCCTCTTGGCCCTTCAATGTGTGATCCTCAGCCGGATATGACCAGCATGTCACCAAGTCAGGATCAAGTAGGGCACTTCTCCACATCAAAATATGAACGCCTATGAGCCGTGCTAGCACAGGGCCACTGGAGCCAGACTGTCTATCGACGGGCGCCCTGCACTGGGCCATCAGCTGGATTCCTCCTCTAGGGACACAACGTAAAAATATCTCGGGAAAGGCAGTAATTATGTATTTTTAAAGAAATGGAGGACTTTTTTTTTTTTGGAACTCAAGCTCTCGGAACAGTTACTCCTTTGGGACCTGAAGGCCATTTGCAGACTTATAAACACAGAGGCAGAAGATGTGCATGTTCGTTACAGAAGAAGGAAGACAAAACAGCTCCAGGGGCCAGCGTGGGTTTGTTAGAATACATGAGCTCTTTTAGCCAGTGACGAGAGATGAAATGAAATTCAGTCATGAATCAGAAGGGAAATTTTACAATTGAGATGTCTGTCTATGATGGATAGGCAGTGGGCTTAAGAATTCTCAGGGGAACTGGAGAATGGTTTCAGGAACATTCATTTGTTTAGCGCATGCTGATTGTCTACTGTGTGTCAGACACGTTCAAATTCTGGGCAGAGAGCAGAGAATCAAATAAGCAAAGTCCCTGCCCTTGTGGGGTTGATATTATTACTGGGTGAGCTATCTGATAAATAGACAAAAAACCCAAGTAAATATACATATAGTATTTCAGGTGGTGAAAAACTCACAGTCAGCAGATGCAGAGGCTACGGGGATGGGCGGTGATGGCTCATTTAAAGAAAGCGCGGGGAAGGCCTTTCTCTGGTGATTGTTGAGGATAAGAGACCGGAGAAGTGCGAGGGGCCTGGCCATGCACAGATGCGGGGGTAGGAATATATGCAGAGGTAAGAACGAATCTGGTGTGTGCGGAACAGCACAAAGCAGAGCGCCCCAGGAGTGAAAGAGATCGT